AAAATTTTGGGAAGAAAAGCTTTTGGTCAAAAAAATTTTGGTTAAAAAATTTTGGAAAAAAATTTTGGTCATAAAAAAATTGGGAAAAAAAATTTGGACAAAAAAATTTTGGGACAAAAAATTTTTGGAAAAAAAAATTTTTGGTCAAAAAAATTTTGGAAAAAAAAATTGTTAAAAAAATTTTTTGTCCAAAAATTTTGAGAAAAATATTTTTGGTCAAAAAAATTTTGGTCAAAAAAATTTTTGGTCAAATAAATTTTGGTCCAAAAAATTTTGGGAAAAAAAATTTTGGTCAAAATTTTAAGTCAAAATTTTTTTGAACAAAATTTTTTTGAGAAAAAATTTTTTGTCCAAAAATTTTGGTCAAAAAAATTTTGGAAAAAAAAATTTGGTAAAAAATTTTTTTATATATATAATCTAAGATCTAATTTGCAAGAATTAAACACTCTAGTCTCTAAATATTGTAAAGATAACTCAGCGAGTGCTGGAGATATAGAAGAGCCCATAGGTGTAACAAAAAAAATTTAGAAATTGAAATGGTCGTTGGATTCAAAGTTTCAATTCTATATCTCCAGCACTTGCTGAGTTATCTTTACAATTTAGAGACTAGAGTGTTTAATTCTTGCAAATTAGATCTTCAATTTTATTACAGATACGTTGATGATATTTTTACTTGTGTTCCTGTTGAAAACTTTGAACTTTTACTTCACAACTTTAACTTTTTCAATGAACATCTTTCCTTCACTTTTGAAAAAGAACAGAACAATTCCATGGACTATATGACTATTATAATATACTATATATTACTAATATACTATATATAATTTAAGGCTATAATTTTGGCCAAAAAATTTTTGGAAAAAAAATTGGTCAAAAAAATTTTGGAAAAAAATTTTGGGAAAGATTCTAGGAAAAAATTTTTGGCCAACTAGTCAAAAAAAATTTTAGGAACAAAAATTTTGGTCAAAAAAATTCGGGAAAAAATTTTTTTGGTCAAAAAAATTTTGGGAAAAAAATTTTTGGGAAAAAATCTAGAAAAAAATTTTTGGCTAACTAATTTTGGGAAAAAAAATTTTGAAAAAAAAATGTCGGTTAAAATAATTTTGGGACAAAAATGTTTGGTCAAAAAAATTTTAGAAAAATATTTTTGGACAAAAAATTTTTGTCAAAAAAAAATTTGGAAAAAAGTTTTTTAAAAAAAATTTTCGTCAAAAAAAATTTTGAAAAATATGGTAAAAAAATTCCTTGGAAAAAAAAATTGGTAAAAAATTTTTTTGGAAAAAAATTTGGTAAATATTTTTTTTGGAAAAAAATTGGTAAAAAAAATTAGAAAAAAATAGTGTTAACTCTACTCGTCTCTATTAAAACACAATGTTCTCTTAATTATTTATTTACTTTAATTACACTACGTTCTTTATTATACGCATTATATTCTCTTGTTTATGGTTATGTTCACGCTGTCATTAGTACCAACATTTATACATCCCAACAGCGCCATCTATTCATAGCTAATAATAGGAAATAAAATTTGAAAAAAAAAATTTGGAAAACAAAATTTGAGAAAAATTTTATTTAGAAAAAAAAATTGGGGACAAAATTTTTTGTAAAAAAAATTTGGGAAAAAAAATTTTTGGAAAAAAAAATTTGGGGAACAAATTTTTTTGTAAAAAAAATTTTTTGGGAAAAAAACTATGGACTAATAGTCTTTGATTTTCTGGGGGGAAAAAATGGGAAAAAAATTTTGAGAAAAAAAAAATTGGGAAAAAATTTTTTTTGGAAAAAAAACTTGGAGAAAAATTTGGGGAAAAATTTTGGAGAAAAAATTTTTTGGAAAACAAATTGAGAAAAAAACTTTTTGGGGAAAAACCATTTTGCGTAAAAAGAATCGAAATATAATTATTTCAAATAATAATACTCATCAGTTTCAATATATTAGTATTCATGCGTAAAAAAAAGAATCGGAATATAATTATTTCAAATAATAATACTCACCAATTTCAATATATTAGTATTTTTTATTTTGAATTTATTTGAAATAATTATTTATAATTCGATTCTTTTTTATGTAAAATACTAATATATTGAAATTGATGAGTATTATTATTTGAAATAATTAGATTTTGATTCTTTTTTACGCAAAATACTAATATATTGAAATTGATGAGTATTATTATGTGAAATAATTATATTTCGATTCTTTTTTAATTGAAATACTAATATATTGAAATTGGGGAATATTGTTATTTGTAATAATCATACTTTATTGTTGAATATGTTTTTATAAAACATTTTGGTACTTTAAAAAGCCGTTTCATTTCAAAAAGCCTCAGACATTGGCAAATAGATCGATCTAAAAAATCGATAGCAAAAGTACTTACTATCATCTCACTATCAACCGCAAAGTATCGATATTTACTCAGTACTCGATATTTCGTTCTAACACTAGCAGTTCCTCGCAAGTAGTCACAACAAATCACGGTTCATTTCAATGTTGAAAACTAAATTTACTGCTGAAAATATATCAGCTAAACATGCTAATAATTATGCTGAGGTACTAATTATTGAAACATCGATAGTGCAATTCAATGTGACAAATAGTATTATTGTTATTGTTAAAAACAATATCTTCAGATTTACTCGCCTTACATGTTGCTTGAAATCCAACTGAACTTTTATTTTTTTAAACCAGAAAAGCTGAAGCTGAAGCTCAAAGTGAACAAAAAGAAGAAGAAAAAGAAGAGAAAGAAGGAAAATAAGAATATCAAGAAAAACGATACGAAATAGATGTACAAGAAACATGTGAAAATTATGTAACTTTCGTTACGAAACTAATGGCTTTGTTAATGAACCGATGGCTATAACGTATAATTGTAGCCGTCGACGTATGTAATTCTATTTAGTATTTTCTTGAAATGCAAGAAAATCATTTATTGAACCATTTACCTATTAATTGCTTTTATAATTAATATATAATTGTAGAAATTAGTTAAACAGTGAGCTGGAGAAGTTGTAATATGAAATCTTAAAAAAGGTAAGTGAAATGGATTACAACCCATTAACAGGCAATATATTCAAGTGCACTAACATTCATAAGAAAGGATTTTTTTATTTTATAAGTTTATTTTGGATTATTCATCAATATTAAATATAATGAAGAAATTATGCTATCGCAAAATTGATATCGAACGTTAATTCAAATTATTTCAAAATATTTTTATTTCAGCTATATAATATTGCTAAAATGATTATTTTTATCACATTTTAATACACAGATCTAAATTAACCATAATTATTTTTAATGAAAATATTCTGTTTATCATAATACAAAAATAAAAAAATCTAAACAAGATAGGTGTTTCTTACCATTTGCTGTAGCAAATACGTTTAAACGATTTGTATTTAGTAAAACCATAAAATTGCAGAAATAAAAACTATTAATTATTGAATATTTTATTACTACTATATATATTTTAAATAATTATTTAATAAATCTATATTATTTCAAATTATCAATATGATATACTCTAAGAGAAATGATATGTATTTTGATACTAAATGTTTATTTCTCTGATCGAATGTAAAAATATCCCAGCAAAAATATTCATTACCAAAATATATTGTGGTACAAAAGCACCTTTATAAATGCTTTATCGGATTTCGCTAAGTTTTTTAAACCATGGCCATATTTCAAATCCAGCAAGTTTAATTACAGTTTATGTTCAGTTTTATATTTTTTCAAAAAAATCTCTTCGCTTTTAATTTAACCAGTTTTTGAATCATTGAATACACGCGTTCCGGTAAAAAAAGCACATCATCACTGTTTATAATCGACAAAAATTAAGAAGTGAGAACAATTTCTAAAATGTTTAACATTAATCTCAAATTATTTGTCTGTGAAATTATCTATTGTTAAATTTAATGCTGAAGTGAATTTATTCTGTAATATGATAAAATGTAATTCTTATATTCGTAATGCCTAATTTCAATTAATAGTTCAAATTCAATAACTCGGTCTTATTATTTTCATGGAAATCATATGTCACTAATTATAAAGTTCTCGCCAAAAAGAATAATTTGTAATACTTAAAGAAGAATTCCATTCCGCAGGTACATCTCAAAATGCACCATTGTATTCTACAAATGTTGATGATCAGCATTAATGTTGGAAGCGCATTCAGGATCGATTTCTTCCTTTTCCATTTGTTCCTGAGCGTGTTGCATAGCAGCGCAATAGTGCAGCATGAGGGCAGACAGCGCCTGAACTCGCGCGTCCCGATTGCCCTCGATGAACGCCTGTTTCGTTCTCTCGGCCTCCGACAATCGACCGTTGCTACTTCTAGTTTGATGAGACGTTTCGCAATCCAAAGCTCGGCGCAATTTTGAAACCTGTGAATTGAAAATTCTATTTCACTAGCATTTAATTATAAAGAATAGAAACTAGCTGTAAGTGGAATTCTGTCTTAAGGCAATTAAAGCATCGTGCCTTGAGGCAAATTGCTGAAACTTCCCGTACCAAAAATTATTATTTTTTTAAAAACGATTAACATTTTTGAAAAAAATTTACTTTGAAAAAATAAGATTTTTGAGAAACTATAAATTGGACAAAAAATTACTTTTTCTTTAAAAAATTTTTTTTTTTAATTTTTTTTTTTTTGAAAAAAAATTTTTTTCTTTATTTTGACATATTGTGGAAGATCTGAACTTTTTTTTCAAAGCAATCGTACTGCTTTAACTGCATAGGGACAAAATATAAAGCGCGTAAGCGCCGCGCCGCCGTCTAACGCATAAGCATTGGTACGGAACCCATAGAAATGTTAACAAAATGTATACTTATTGTTAAAATCTCTATAAAATATCTGATAATTTGATGTGCATATGTGTAATGATCATTTTTGACCGCCAAATGGCTCATTTTTTTACTTTTTTCTCCATATCTTCGAAACCGCTAGACCTACCTCCATGAAAATTTTATCGATTGTTCATCTTGTCAATACAAGTGAAATGCTTTTTGAATTCTCTTAAAAACTGAGTTACCGTTTTTGGCACTTTTTGCCCCGTATCTTCGGAACGGCTAGACCTGCCTTCGCCAAAAACGAATCAGCACGTCTCCTTATCAATACGAATCGAATGTTTTTTGAATTATTCAAATCGGTTGATCCGTGTTCCCGAAATCGTCGACGAAAATTTGTATCCGCACATACATACACACACATACATACATACATACACACACACATACACACACACACACACATACATCCATTTTTTCTAAGGTATGCCAAAATGTTCAGAAACCTCTGAAACGTAAAGATATATAAAAATTTTCATTTTCGATTTTTTTGCGCTTACTATAACTTGCCCTACGGGAAGTTAAAAAGTAAAAAAAAATGCCATTTGGTAGTCAAAAATGATCATTAGACATGTACACATCAAATTATCAGATATTTTATAGAGATTTTAACAATAAGTATAAATTTTGTTTACATTTCTATGGGTTCCGTACCAATGTTTATTCGTTAGAGAGCGACGCAGCGCTTACGGGCTTTATATTTTGTCTCTATGCAGTTAAAGCAGTACGATTGCTTTGAAAAAAAGTTCAGATCTTCCAAAATATGTCAAAATAAAGAAAACATTTTTTTTTCAAAATTTTTTTTTTTTTAATTTTTTTTTAAATTTTTTTTAAATTTTTTTTTAATTTTTTTTTTAATTTTTTTTTTTAATTTTTTTTTTCAAAAAAAGTAATTTTTTATCCAATTTATAGTTTCTCAAAAATCTAATTTTTTCGAAGTGATTTTTTTTTTCAAAAATGTTATTCGTTTTTTAAAAAATAATAATTTTTGATACGGAAAGTTCCAGCAATTTGCCTTAAGGCACGATGCCATGCGCCCCACTAGTTTTTTCAAAGCAATCGCGATAATTTAGCTGCGTAGAAACAAAATATCGAAGCGCGTGGGCGTTGCGTCGCAGTATAACGAATAAACATTGTAACGGAACCCATAGAAAAGTGAACAAAATTTCTTATTATTATTAAAATATCTATAAAATATGTGATAATTTGATTTCCATATGTCTAATGATCATTTTTGTCCGCCAAATAGCATTTTTTTCATTTTTTATTGTATTTCCGAAACCGCTAGACCTGCTTTACCAAAAATTTCATCAGTTCTTCATTTTGTCTATACAAATGAAATGTTTTATGTTTAAAATGTTCAATCATACAATACTAGTTTAGTTGTGATATTTATATTAAAACTAAATATTTCATTACCATTGCTCCAATTTTGTCCAATCTCTCTGGCCCTGGTAGATCTGAATGTAATCCCTTGGCAGAATCCTTGGCTAGGCTCATGATATCTTCTTGTTGCAAATGATTTTGAAGGATTGGTTCTACGACAGCAGCAACGCTCTCACTGTCAGTCACATCGCAGTGCTCAAGAAGAGCAGGGCAAAGGTCGAATGGGTTAGAGCTGACGGACACCAGAGATTGTTTCCTGATTGTAATTGGGTAATATGTTTTGTTTATAATCCCCAAGTTAGTTTACCATAGCCAATTACAAGAGAAGTGTTTTAGGTAAAATTATTGTGCATGGATAAATTATAAAGATTAGGTTTAAAGGTTAGTATGTATGAAATAAGAAATTTAGTAATTTTCATGCTAGTTATTTTAGCAGTCCGAATAATAATTTGTATATAAAGGACTTTTGCTAATATTAAATTCTTAATAAAATAAATAAAATTACATTAAAAATAATTCTAAGGGAATAAGTTATAATTAAAACTGATAATTTGAAGTAGGAGAAATACATTCACAGAACGACTTTAAGGGGCACAACTAGTGTGATCGCCTAAAACAGGTGAATTTTGAAAATTAATATTAAAAAAACTACTCTATCAATCAATTCAAAATTTTAGGAATATATTTATACATGTTTTAAGAATACATAATAAAATTTTTGAGATAATTAAAATAAAACTTGTTAAACTAGATAATATTGTCTGTAAAATGAACTACGATGAAGAAAAAAAATCAAAAATTGACAAAATGACGGGCGATTTTGGTCGTTTTTGGACTGCCAAAATTCGATTTTTGATCCGATAAAAAAATCGATAGTTCATTTCACGGAAAACTATATAAAGAACATGTAAAAAAATTGATAGTGATCGGATCATTTGTTTTTGAGTAATCGCTGCAGCAAATTCAGAAAATGCTGTTTCGAGAAAAGCGCGTTTAAAGATTAAATGATCGTTATACTATATACTATATATACACTTTAAATGGCTGTAACTCCAAAACTATTTAAGATATCGATTTAAAATTTTGGTATGGTATTTTAAAAGGTATAACCTATCAAAATATGGAAAAATTGAAAATTCGATTTTTTGAAATTTTCACACTAGTTGTGCCCCTTAAGTATTAAAATAATATAAAAATAATTTACTTTACATAGCTTTAATTTACAATAAATATGATTCACACATAGTAAATTTTTTTCAGTACCTTGGTGTGTGCTGCGGCGATGGTGGTAAACTTTTACTACCAGATCCATCCTTACTGGATCCTGAACCAGGTATTGATAAATTGTTTGCAGAATTGACTCTTTTAACGCCTTGAGTAATAGTCTGAGGCAATGTGGCCTGTAGCAGACCGCTAAAACTTTTTCGATGAATCGCAAAATCATACGATTTTCCGTCACCGGCAGGTGTTGCATCTTGTGCTTCGTCAACGCCAAGAGATGTATCTACGCCAGATACATCTTCGTCAGGAATATTATCCTTAAAAATTCATAACAGAATTGATAATTTATTACATTTCTAGCGAAGAGAAAGATTTCATAAAGAGGTATTTTTAAAGAACGTTTTGTGAAAATATGTAATGACGAAAATTTCATTTATAAAATGATGTAAAATTGTTTTTAACTTTATATTATTTTTGAAAGCTGAAGTATAGTAATACTCCATTTATTCAGCTTAATCTCAATAAAAACGTAGCCCGTTTAATTAAAAGTAACTAGTTGGTATTGGTATTTTGCCTTGAGGCAAGTTACATAAACTTCCCGATATGTGTAAATAATCCACTTAATCAATAAAAAAAAATTATAAGTGATTAAAAGTATACCGAGCGGATTTATAACACTTAATTGAGAACGAACAAACTCATTAACTTGGAGTATTTTCTAAAAGCAAATTTTCAAAAATCAATAATTTTTATAATTTTCCAGTTTTTAGTTATATGAACCAGTTTCTGTAGAACTTTAATGGTTTAGTATGTTCATCAATACCAAGTACTATGTCGTTATACCAAGTAAATCATCTAATTTTAATTTTAACAAACGTCAAAAAAACTACTCATTTTCTCAAACTTTGATAAATTTTTAAAATTAAACTACTTGTCGTAAGGCCGCAATATTTCAGTAAGTTGTATAAGACCATGATATATATCGCAAAAAAAGTTCCATAAAAATCGGCTTGAATTTTTTTTTCAACAATTAATTACAAGAAAACGACTCGTTAGATTTTTACCTAAAACTAATCAGTATCATTCCCAACTAATATCTTTCAAGCAGGTTTTAATTTTTTAAAATCGGTTCGGTAGTTTGACGCTAAATGTGGACGAAAAGTTTAACACTTTTTTTCAAATTACAAAGAAAATGGCTCGGCAGACCGTCTCACAAAACTGATAAACGATAGTCCTTATTGAGATACATCAAATGGCTTTTAAATTTCTGAAATCGGTTCAGGCGTTTTTGAGAAAACGTCGATCAAAGGTCTAATTTTGGCAAATGCCAAAAAACAATACTAATTTTTGTAAACTTTGAAGAATTTTCAAAATTAAACGGCTTTTTGTAAGGCCGTAATATTTTAGTATGATCTAGAAGACCATGGTATCTACCGTTAAAAAAAATAATAAAAATCGTCGATTTTTTTTTTTAAACTTCATTATAAGAAAACGGCCCGGCCGATCTTTACCAAAAACTAATCAGCACGATTCCAAACCAATATCTATCAAATTGTTTTTGAATTTTCAAAATCGATTCAGAATTGCGGGCTAAAACGTGGACGAAAACTTTTTCACTTTTCTGCAATTTACAAAGAAACGGACCGGCCGATTGTCGCACAAAACTCAGAAACGCTAGTCCTCATCGAGATACATCGATCGGTTGTTAAATTTTTGAAATCGGTCCATCCGTTTTGGAGGAAACGTCGATTTACGGCAAAAGATCTGTTCACACATACACATACTTTTTCCAAATGTGGTCTCATTCGATTCAGAATGGCTTGAAACGTCGAGAAAACATAAAATTAGTGAGTCGGATTTTTTTATGAAAACATAAACTTCTCCTTCGGGAAGTTAATAAAAAGTATACACTTAAATGGTGGTACAACTACGCACGAAATATATAATTTCAATGTTTTAGATTAAATCGTTATACAAAAAATCTAACTATGAAACTTTAAAACAATATGCAACCCTTTGTATCCATTCTGTCTTCATTATTCTAGTTACAATCTTACTAATTTTTTATGCATCTTTTCACAATTAATCACCTCAAATTGCTGTTCGGTCATTTGGAACTTAGGAACTACAACTGGTCTTGTTGTAGATGCATTAGTACAAGGTGCACCAGCTTGGCACTTAACAACACATTTTTTATGGCAACACATTGCACAATCTCGGCATTGAACTGCATCTTTTAACCAGATCTGAAAAATATCATATAATAACATTGTAATTAGGAATTGCATGCAAGAGTTTTATAAATCCTATATGCACAGCATATATGTAAAGCGCAAGATACTACATTAGTTTTTTAAAATATGTATTACATATATTCTATACCTTTTTCCCACAAAAATCACATTGCGTAGCTCTATGAAAATGTGTTCTAATAAAGTCATGTTTTTTGGTATCATTCTGAACTACCGCCGAAGGAATGTTAACATCAGGAGGTGCAGTATTTTGCGAAGACTTGAATAATTGCTTTTTAATATTTGGAATTGCGACAGAGCTTTTTTCTGCTATACTTGACGACCACAAGAATGATAGTAATATATCACCATAGCACAAGCATGGTTCATATCCAGGTTGGGAAGACATTGGATTACTTCGACTAAATTGAAAAATATGTTGAATTAAATTAAATTGCTTACATTGATTAATTGAATTTAAATTAAAATATTTTACGAAACTCATCGACATGTTGAATTTAACATTTTTGAATATCAGATAAAACATTTATGCTGGTGAAACATCATTTTAGACATCCTATTAATCAACTAAAGCTTATCGTGATTATTATTGTGATAAATACCGATATTATTAATATAACAAGAAAATAATAGAACAGTTTGTCAAAAAATGTCAAATTTAGCCACGATTAAAATTAAAAAATCAGTTTCATTTAACCTAATACAATAATTGTGAATTACAATGTAATATTATTTTGTGCCTGGAAAATAAACGTTTCAATTCTATTATAAAAATAGTATTTCTTCTTCTTTTTGTGGTAGTAATACAACTAAAGATAATCAAGATACAATTTGAAAAAAGAACATATAATAAGTTAATTGTGATGAAATATATATATATATATATATATATATATATACATATATATATAAATATAAAATACCGCTTGGATTTGTTAATGTTAATAGTGTTTTTTAAATTTTAATTTGGCTTGTGAATGGATATAGTACTAATGATGGTGAAGCGAAGTTGGTAGAATGATATTATTTATTGCCTACACATATGCTTAATATATGTTATCAATTAATATAACGATTGAATACTTACTATACTAACTTATTCCTCATTTGTGTACGTACCTATTTGGAGGTAAAAATTCTGAAGGAAGCAATGAGTAACATTTCAAATAATGACCCAATTTAGAATCTTGGCATTTGTTTATCACTGTGGTCAACGGAATGTTCAAATAACCGAGCAAAACACTACCTTCACAAGCATGATTTTTTCCCCAAACATTAATGTTTAAGTACACATCTCCTTCAAACATTTCAAATGTATAAACGTTATTAAATGGTAACACAGATTTCACAGGAAGATCACTTGATGTAAAACATTTAATGGACTGTTTTATATTATTACTAGAATTCATCGAATAACTTTCACTAAAGCTTAATCGTTCCAAAGCCATCGGATGTGGTTTCCTTAAAGGAGTTGCAGTTGAACTGCTGGTTGGTGTAGTTCCAGCACTGCTGTCACTGGAAGTTTTATCCAAAGAACAATTTCTTTTTCTGAGACCGTAACTTGAAGATAATTGTACAGATTCATTAGATTTATAAAAAGAAATTTTGGTTAAGTTTTCTACACTTCTGCTATTATGTCTAGATTTTCCTTTACCAGCATCCACAGGTTCTGTGCCGTCTTTGTTACTTGATTCTTTGGCTAAAGATATGTTCACCTCTGGTGGTTCAAAATGTTGCACAGTTATATTTTCTGTGCTATTATGCAGACTAACATCCGTCAATTTTCTTTCAACACGAATGGTAAACATACTCAAATTGATAGATTTTACTATTTTAGCAACTTGGTTTGTATTGGTAACTGGTTTGCCCTCAATCGAAATTATTATATCACCTCTACATAATTTTGCATCGTACGCGGGGCTATTTGGCACAATGGTCTCTATCACAACGCTTGTGTTACTTTTATCCATACACTCTTGCTTGAAAACTATTCCTAGTTGTTGAGCTTTGGTTTTCGTAACTATCACATCTAATAAAATTTTTATTTGGTCATCCTTCTGTGATAAAGAAACCCAAGGAATACTGTCTATACACATAGTATAAAATATTTGATCTATATTCGGATTAGTAATTGATAATCTAGTAATCTCCAATGTCGTTACTTCGAGAAGGCCTTCAACAATTATGTTCTCATCAATCTCTAACTGGCCGGGATCAGTTCTTGTAAAGAAAGGCTTATATCTGAAATAAAACACATATTGCAGATTTTGTTTGAATAATAATAATAAAATTCAACATAAGTTATATATTCATCAATATTTAATTTGATTTTATTGCTTATAAGAATATTTAAGGATAGTAATAAGTTATTGTTACTAATTCAGTTTTTCTATAGAAAAAACTGCCAGTTAGTAGTAGCAACTGTATAAAACAATCAGAAAGAGAGCATACACAAACAAATATAACTATATATAGTAAATAAAATCAAATGTGACTTACCTAATTTTATAATTGGGTAAAGTGTGCTTTCGCTTGATGGCCCTCCTAATTTGATTACTTATGAAGCTGGTGACGTTGCTTTGCATCTGTCTGCCTTGAAACTGCGACTCCACTGCTAAATCTATCGTAGGCTCTTCATAAAAACTAAATGACCAATGCGTGTAAGGCAAACGAGTAAACCGCAATCGCGCCCTTCCAGATATATGGCGCACTAATTAAAAAAAATCATATTAAGGAACAAAAGAAATAATACTGAGATATGTAATAGAGCAGTGACAATTTGTGAGATACTAGATATAAAACAGGTTATAAATCGATTTTTTTTAAACCAGGATCAGAAGTACGTGTTGTATGGACTATCTATCTTATTGTAGGTCATAGTCTGGTATTTTTCCTGAGAGGGACACTCAGCGGTCAAACACATGCACACAAACACACACACACACACACACATATATATATATATATATATATCTTATATATAAAAATGGAGCTCTCTTTCAAATGTCTAAGTAAAACTCGAAAACGGCTAAACCGATTTGGCCAGTCTTAGTCTTGAAAAATTCGTGCCAATCCAGAGAAAGTCCAAAAGTGAGATATTATTCCAAACTTGCGTAGAAACTTTACATTTTTAATTTGAAAATTTTTGTAGAAGCGTAATTTGAATAAAACAATAGATGGTGTTCAATTACTTTTAATAGGAAGTTTTACGTGAAAATTTACGACAATATAAGTCGAAAGACCAAAAAAAACTTGGATTGGATCATACCATGTTTTCTATAGAAAGTATATAAAATTTCCAGTTTGATTGTATTGACAAAATATCGGTAATCTTTGAAAATCCATAATAAAATTATTTTCTTTCGTCGGTAGTTTCTTAGCATTAGTTAAAAATGTAATTATTTTGTAAAATACCTTTAAATTAAAATAAGGTTTTAAACGTGTTTGCCACCTGGCCGTTCCAAGTTACCCCGCCTATAGGGTAAAAAGGTGTAGATAACGAATTTTTGAAAGACATCAAAAAAATACATTTCTACAATGATGAAGTAGCTGGCAATTTTACTGAACGTAGTCAGATAATTGGTCATTAATTAATCGAATGTTTACTTGAAACTTCGTAACTTAAAAATTTCAAGAAAAAAAAGATTAAAAAAAAATTATAACATTTTTTTTTCCAAAAGCAATTATTATGTTAAAACAAGCAGAAAGTTCTTTGAATCATTCAAATCGAACGCTTAGTTCTCTCAAAAACTGCCATTTTTGTACATTTAGCTCTATCGGAATATCGGAGTATCAAAATATCTGAATATCTGAATATCTGAATATCTGAATATCTGAATATCTGAATATCTGAATATCTGAATATCTGAATATCTGAATATCTGAATATCTGAATATCTGAATATCTGAATATCTGAATATCTGAATATCTGAATATCTGAATATCTGAATATCTGAATATCTGAATATCTGAATATCTGAATATCTGAATATCTGAATATCTGAATATCTGAATATCTGAATATCTGAATATCTGAATATCTGAATATCTGAATATCGGAATATCGGAATATCTGAATATCTGAATTTCGGAATATCTGAATGTCGGGATATCTGAATGTCGGGATATCTGAATGTCGGGATATCGGAATATCGGAATGTCGGAATGTCGGAATATCGGAATATCGGAATATCTGAATATCTGAATCTCGGAATATCGGAATATCGGAATATCTCTAGAAAATGATTAGAATTTACATTACTTAGCAAAACAACGTTTACCAGCTAGTATATATAAAGGCAATTTTCACCTGAGATTATATTTGAGATGTAATTATTTTTGGGGAAATACGGTATCATACTGCTTGACATCGACTGCTGGCCGTCAAACCTGGGATCAAATTGACTAGTCCAAATTGCTGTTTATTATTATGTACTTTTATGCCTTATTTTTATCACCAAATATTAATTGGCAATTATAGCGATTTAGGTAAGGTTATATGAAAGAGTAATACCCTGGCCAGTACAATACAATCGTAAAAATCTCTGAAAAATTATTTGACCAATATTATTTTGATGTTAAGTCAGTGTATTATCAAACTGGTTACTCTATCTTGGTTCTGAAAAGAAAGTTTCAACGTCATTTTGAGTTCTTCATGTTCGATTACGCAAAATCAAATCGGTATGAAAAGTAGGGCAAGTACAAAGCAATAAATCTTGGTGAATCATTCTATATAATCTCTTGCAAGCATCCATCTAACATTTCACTAGACTCAATACAGATATATTAAATTAATACATTCACAACGTAAAAAGAGTTACATATATCCAGTAGACTCATCACTAAGAAAGATATTATCATTATAAAATTTTACAACTTTCAACTTGTTTTAATAATACCTTTCACAGCAAGATAAGCACGTTTTCCTAACACCATATTTGCGTCAATGGCAAGTTGAAAATTTCCAGAGTAGTTCAAATCCAGGCTTAAATCTAGTGTATCGATGTGACCTTCGGTTTCATCAAGACTGACATTTTCCACTCGCACATTTCGGATTTCTGGAAATTGACTGCCCAAATGTAGATCTCTCAACTGAAATGATAAACATGATTTTTTCTAATTTAATGCAGAACGGGATATTCTATATCAACCAATTTCTCTATAGATAAAAATATTAGATTGAAATTTTCTTCATAAATTTTGATTCGACGATGATTTAAAATTTTCACTCGACACATTTGTTCATTAATTAACATTATTTTTTGTTTATTTTTTTTTAATCAGACACTATGATTAGTATCACAAAAGTATAGATTGCGTAGTTGATCTCTGAATGTTAGCATTATTATTAAAATGTATAATCAAAATTATTATCTTCACCGATAATTTATCGAAAAGTCTCCCTGTGGTAGATTTTGATATCAGCTCATCAAGTTCCATGTCCAGCTTACGCCAAAACCATCCACGCACCCTGGAACTGTGCCGCAATTCATGAAAAAGAAATTGCAGCAAAAGGTTGATTGCCACTGGCATCTGAGGATCACTTGCATCGCATGACTTGAGGCACTCCAAAACTTCCTGTACGTTAAAAATATTTCTTATTAATCAGCTGTATACAATCCAATATGAATTCATTTAATTGCTTACAATATTGGGTAAAAGTTACCAAAAAGTTATATAATTTTATTCATTAAGATATCATAAGCTTCAGCAGATTATCATAATTTACGATGTGTTATAAATATGTATTTGTTTTCTGTACAAATACAAATAAAAAAATAAGCTTTTTTAAAAAATTTAGTAGGTACATATAAGTTTATGACGCTTTAGTCACAATACATAATATCTTATGATTCCTTCATAATATTAAAAGAAAGAAAACAGAATTATAAAAGCAATTATTTAGGAGTAATAAAAAGATTTGGAATAAAGAGAAAACTTAATTAGATTAATATTACGGTACACACATTGCAATGATTTCGAAGAAGAAATTTGAGGCCGACAAGAACGCAGATGGTTTTATAGATGTTGAACGAAATAATAAAAAAAAACTTCACAAATATTATAAAAATTAAATTCTGAGTTAAGGCACCGTAATAAAAATATACCACGCGGTAAGCCTACCTTCGAAAAATATTATTATTAATATAATAATAATTATTATTATTAGCAAAACTATTATTATCATTACATGTTTTAACAGGGAAAAAATTATAGCAGGTGGCATATTGTATGAATCATATTGATAATTAAATCGCGTCGAAACACGTTGAAGAAGTCATAATATTAAATAATAGCATTGTTCTTTATATTTGATAATTGTTGAAAAAGATATGCAACGAAACGCTATTAGAAATTAAATCTAAATATTTTGAAGACATTTTCTAATTACATGATTGGGGCCATATATAAAGTAATTCACATTTGAAGTAGATTAAAAACATTTTAAAAATAGAAATTATCTAACTTATTATTAATTATTTGATTAAATTTTATATTTATATATATACTCCCAGAGTAACTGGCATTTGTATAAAATAGATTAAGTTATAGTTATAAGTAGTTAAGTTCTATTATTGACCTTAATATTTGCAAAATTTCAAAACTGATTTTTTTTTAATTTGAAAATTTGCTTTATTTGACTTAAATACGTACATTGATTTTTACATAAAGATACAAATTGTATACACCTATTCTGGGAATATCATTATACTATCATAATATAATATTGTTCTCATATATATATATATATATATATATATATATATATATATTTATCTATATATATATATATATATATATATATATATTTATATGACATTCCCAGAATAGGTGTATACAATTTGTATCTTTATGTAAAAATCAATGTATGTATTTAAGTCAAATAAAGCAAATTTTCAAATTAAAAAAGAAAATCGGTTTTAAAATTTTGCAAATTTAAGGTCAATAATAGAACTTAAAACTACTTATAACAATAACTTAATCTATTTTATTTAAAACTGATACTTCCGAAAGAATGCAATGTTTTTGCTTAGAACCGGATTTTCATAGTCATACTGAACAAATCTGTACTGAATTCAGACAAAAAAACATAATGAGTACTCTTATATGCATATATAATCGAAAAGAACGGTCACATACATCATATAAATTCCCATCTTATAAATTATTGTTTTTTTTTTAAAAATAATTGACAAAATCCTTTATTTAATCCTCATCATGAGCTACACTATAACATGATTTTACATGTGTGATATATTTTACTATTAATTTATTGAAGAACGTGATGAAAAGTTATTGAAATTTAACATTTTTTAGTGCATATAAGTTTTTACCGTCGCACGGTATTACAAGATTACACAGGAAACACAGCAATTTAATTGCATATTGTTATGCAATAAGGCTTTATCTCGCTGTCGATTATAAAAACATAATGTAGCGTGCCGTATTTTACTAACGGATCAACAAGCCAACAAAACAAGTTTTGTATGAATAACATTACCTTTGGCATACAGTATTTTTCAGCTGCCGGCTTCTTAGGAGCATCTATAACGGGTTCGCTCCTTACATACTTCATGAAGATATAATACTGCAATGCTACAGTGACCAGAGCTCCTATCACGAAGGACACGAAGCAGTTCAGCAGACCGATAAAGAGCTCCATTATCCTGGTCACTTTTGCGCTTCGTCCAGATTTTTATGTCACATCAACATTTCTGATTTCTGATCTTCACTGTAGCCAACTGTATGACACAGTTGACAGAACATGAATTATTGTGAGTAAAACACAAAGGGAAACAATCGATAGTTCCTTCCACAGGTCAGTGCCCCACTTCGCGGTGGTCGGGCGGGCGCGCATGTGCGCGGCGTCGCGGCTCTTCGGAGACTGAATTGCGAATGCGGTTGGAAGTTGCGCGACTGGCTGCCTTTTGTCAATTCGGAATTCACACGATAGTTTATAACAGAAATAGTCAGAGATTTCGAATCAAGGGCCGCATTATACAAGTTTAGTTCTTAGTTGGATAGGCCGTGCTCCATTCGAGAAGATTATGATCCATTATGCAAACCACAAGCTAAAAGATTGAAAAATCTTCTCACACACAATTTTACTAGTGGCGCTTGGCACCATACCTTAAGGGGGTGTAGAGCGATGAATTTTAGGCCATTTTCAAAGTGTCGTAAAAGAAAGCAATGAATGTTTTTACTGTCCATTTTTTACCACTTGTTTATTAATATTATTAAAATACAAAACAAAAATTTAAAAATAAAAAAGTTGAAAATTATAAAAACTGGCAGCTGATGAAGTGGGAGGTCTCAAAAAATTGGCACCTCAGTCTTGACATGATTTCAGCCCTCCTAGCATTCGAAATGCAAAAAATAAAAATATTATTAATCTACAATGTTGTCGCAATCGCCCGAACTAGCAAATGAGTAAAAATTTTTTTTTTA